TAGCCAAGAAAAATTGAGGTTATAAATTTAAGATAGAGAAAACAACTGAAACTCACCTTCAACGGAAGACAAATGTCCCACAAATTGCACTCATACAGAAACAAATTAAAATTTTCTGTAATAGTCTCTATAAACTTTAGTAAAGCACCCCGTTTTTTTACATCCAACTGCAAGAATGTTTTGTTTTTACAATTATAGGTAAACTTGGGGAAGTTTTGGAGGGAAATTACACTAAAGGAACCTTTGGCATGTGCTTAACATAGTTTAGCACAGTAATCCCAGATGGCAGCACTTATTTAGTTTTTAAACAAAAATTTCACTTTGCCTCTACGTTCCACTTTGCCCCACATTCCCCTACTTGGTTAACTTGTAATGAACTCTCAAAAACTTTATTTTGCAAAGTTTGTATGGTCTACAGCAAAGAATTTAGTATATTTATGAGTGGATGAGCATGAAAAAAGTCAAAGTCACAAAAATTCTGCTGAAGCACATTTGATGCAATTGAAAAAATTAAATATACTGTCTTACGTACCAAAACAAGAAAATATTCGTCTAAGTCAAATTCAGATAGAAGAGATATTTTACTGCGAATTATAGAAGTAATAAAAGTAATTGGTAAATGTGGTATTGCCTACAGAGGTCACAGAAATGAGGATATTCTTTCTTTGGCCAATTCAAAAATTAATCATGGTAGCTTTTTGGAACTTATTTTACTGCTAAAAAAATTTGACCACTTATTGAATTCACATATTAATCGTATTATTTTAGAAAAACAAAAGCTATATACACATAGTAAGAAAGGTAGGGGTAATATTGTGTCTTTTTTATCCAAAACAACTATAACTTCCACTGTAAATATTACCAAAAATTTAATAACGCGTAAGATTTCAGAAAAAACTACTGATATCGAAATGTATTCAATTCAAATTGATTCAACACAAGACATTACAGTTACAAATCAAACTTCTATTATTATTATTATTATTAGATATGTAGATGATGAATCTGTGCATGAAACATTGCTTGCGTTAAAAAGTACAAGTTTTACAAAAGACCAAGCTCTTTATGTGTTAATAGCAAAAGTGTTGGCCGACAATAATATCAATTTACAATATTGTGCAGGTAGCAGCACCGATGGTGTCGCAAATATGCAAGGGCAATATAATGGTTTTAGTTCTTGGATGGCTACTTCTAATCCTGAACACATACAACTCTGGTGCTATGCTCATATTTTAAACTTAGTAATAACAGATATTACACAAAAACCACATCAGTGTACATCTTTATTTGGTTTGTTAAATGCTATTGCTGTTTTCTTTAAAGAATCTCACACTAGAATGGATATTTGGAAGGAGTCTTCTCGAAAAGTTTTAAGTACAATAGGAGAAACAAGATAGGATTCTAAATTTATGTAATGCAGTGTTAAAAATATTTGGAAGTTATTATGACCCAATTAATGCCCTTTTTATTACAATTATAGAGGTATAGAGCAGGGGCGGCTCATGACTTGAAAAATTGATGAGGCAAAGCACAAAACGCTCTAAAATATAAATAAATCAAGATTACTTAAATATTTTCTATTTAGTCAAATAAACAAATTTGTAAACTCATTTAACTGTCCACAAAGAACCAACGTGAAGGTGTAAGGAGGTCTTGCAAGGAAAGGATGAGAATGACAGGACAAAAGGAAAGGGAAGCGTGGTCAGAAAAAACTAATATAACTCCTAACAAAAAACAAAATTAAAATAAACTTTAAAGAAAACATATCGAAAAAGATCAAATACAACATAAAATAAAGCTAATTTGATTTATAATAAAAAACAAAATGAAAAAAATATAAATACGGATTTATTTTAAATTTTTTTTATGGATCAATTAACGATTTACTCAAATCAGGAACCGGCGGTTTTAATTCCTTAACTACATACAATTTATCATCATACGTGAAAGTAGAAAAAACAAAACTACCATTGTCATTTAACGTTAGTAGAGAAAAATTCCGATTTACTCGTAATCTTAAATAACGATTACCGAAATCAAATTATGATAAGCACAAAGCACCAACGCGACGCACGCAAACGTAGGCACTTTTAAGACAAAATTCTGTTAACGAAATTTTGAATCAATTTATACACACACAGATTTGTGGAAAAACAATCAACGGCCTAATTATGAATACTCCTGCGAATGCAGACTGCATTGTAATCGCACGTTCCCCGCGCGCAAATATTATAGTTGTCCATCTCTTTTGCAAGCACGGAAATGAGGCTAGCCTCAATTTTGTCTTTTTTCAACTCATACCGCTTATGAGTGTATTGCAGGTTGCTTGCCTATTAACGACATGATTTCTATATATGCTGTAGAGGCAAGCTTCGAGTCTGCCTCATTCGCGTCACAAAATACATGTTGTGCCGAGTGTTTAAGCGCGCTGTTTAATTAAGGGAGCAACGAGTACCTACCGAGATAAAAATAAGAATATAATTTTATTATTGGCTGAAATGTGTCCGTATAAAATAATAAAAATCCTAATAAGGGGTAAAATTCATTGGTGAGGCACTGCCTCACCTGCCTCATAGGACAAGGCGCCCCTGGTATAGAGAAATTTTAAGTTCTGACACACGATATAAAGCAACTTTCTACTTAAATTCACTTTCAAAATATGAAACCGTTTTAACCGCCAACATGTATTTGAGAATTTTTCAGCATACCCTAATTACAGCGCAAACAATGATTACTGAAACAAAAAAATTCTTTAACTGCAATCTCCAGAGATTTTGATCATTTAAAGTTAACAGACAAATTTGTAGAATGGGCAAAGAATGAATTGGGAAAAGAAAACAACGCGTCTACGGTTATCAATTATTCGGAATTAAATATTCTGCGAATTCGTAAAAAAAAATGTCCGGTGAAAGAACTTCAGACTATAGCATTGATAACTCCTACGAAAAATATAAAATTGATGTATACAATGTAGTTTTGCACGTTATTGTGCAAAGTTTTAGTACAAGATTTACTAAAAACTAAAAAAAAAATATTTTAATAAAATTTAATGCCGAAATTACACCGTCTCAAATACGAGAAGAACTTTGAGATTTTGCTGCAAAATGGGATCAATTAAAAGAAACTATATCCGAAGATTCAACTTTTGTGTGACGATTGTGGTAGCCCAAACCCCTGCAAATTCTGCAAAGAGTGTGCTTTGTGTTGTTATACAGTTTTAATGAAACACAACCTTTGTTCAAGTGCTTATGAAAATCTTTTTCTTGTGTATAAATTTTTGTTAACTTTATTTATTTCGTCTGCTGGTTGTGAAAAGAGTTTTTCGAAGCTTAAAATTGTCAAAAACAGATTGCGAAACAGTTTGACGGATGACTGATGATCGTTTGGATGCATTTACAATGATATTTGTTGAAAGTATCATGTTAGATGACATTCACTCTAATATTGTTATAGATACTGTTTCGGGTCAAAGTGCCGTTATGGCCAAATTATTAAAATAATCTGTATAATATAGATATATTGTATATCAATAATAAAACTGCTAAGTACAACTTTTTACTTCCTGGGCGTATTTCTAAATAAAATTAGTTTTAAACTTATTAATTGCTCTCGATGCACTCACCGGCACGAAAAACGGGCCACCTTATTTTTTTTTAAGATACGAAAATGTGCAAAATAAAGTACGATTTCGGTTGCAATACTTTGATGTTGTTATTATTATTATTATTATTATTATTATTATTGAAAACGTTGGGCAGAGGCAGAGCCTATTATGCCCATCCGCCGAAAACAATTTTCCAGCAACTATGCTACGTTTCTTGTAATATTTTTATCCAAAAAGAACTAAAAAATACACTGACCAGCAAAAAAAAACCGGACCCTGAAAAATTTCACAAAACCATTTTAAAAATTATTAATTTAACTAGTGATCGTTATTTTATTAAAGAATCATTTACTATTGGCAGACATGTTGTACAAATAAGCAAAAAAAAAGAAGACATATAAACGCAGAATTAAATTTAATTTAACAAAATAACAGAAACAGACGAAGTACGATATTTTCTTAATTAATTAATGTTTTAAAATAATAAAGGAGGGTGTTGTTGTAAACAGTGTTTTTCATCATTTGATTATAAGTTTAGCACGTTTTCACACGAAAACAATGCCGTTAACTCTTACAGACATCTCTCAAATTGTCGCTCTGTTTCTGTTATTTTGTTAAATTAAATTTAATTCTGCGTTTATTTGTCTCTTTTTTTGGCTAATTTATACATCATGTGTCCGTTATTGGCCGACCGCTCTCAATATAGAGTCATAAATAGCTCTTCCGTTGAACCTTTTTTAGCGAAATCTTTAACATTGATAAAATCAGATGTGTTCTCCGATGCCATTCTTATATACTCGTATTGATAATTTGCCATTCGATTGCGGTTCCGGTTGGGTTCTCTTTTGTGGGTTGTAACGTACATGATAATACAAAACTCACTTGACATACACCTTGTAAAACTTTTAGTTTATGACTTAAGCGGCTTAAGCCAAACCACCCGTAAGTCAAACTGGCTATTTTAAGCTTTATGGACCCGAACCGTAGGGATTATTACTGTCTATTGTTGGCATAATGGAGCTGTAAAGTTTTACTAGCTATATGTGAACTGAGTTAAGTTATACAATAGCCAGTTTGACTTATAAGGGTGCTTTGGCTTAAGCCTCTTAAGTCATAAAAGTTTTACAAGGTGTATGTCAAGTGAGTTTTGTATATTATTACGCATACTCTGATTATTTGTCCTGTAATTGTTAGATGTCGCTTTACTTGGGATTAAATTCTTCATTTTGATATCTTGTTTATTTTATTTTCGACATTCTTCAAGAATTTGCTCTAAACGTGGGATCAGTTTTATTACTCTTTAAAAAAAAATAAGAACAAGCAACAGTGAGTGAGCGTTTTTATAAGTTTATTCATAGTTTATATTAGATTTTTACAACGGCTAATTTATTTTTAGGGGAACATTGACGAAGAAGGAAAAAATTTTCTCCCGTCCCCTGATGAGGACGAGCTTTCTCTCGACGCAAGTACATCCGCTCCTCCCAGCGTCAGAGTCGCGGATTCAATCTCAGAAGTACCTATAAGACGTGACGTCGCGACGCGCACCTGAGTTACAACCAATATGCCAGCCTGCTCTTCAGGATCGGGGATCAGCCCCCTTTGTGGTGGGTGGTTGATTTTAGTTTTATAAGTATTTCATATATTGAATGTTAAAATAAAGTTAATAAAGAAAAATAGTTGTGGTATTTAATCCTTCTGATTTTTATTTCGTTCGTTTCAAAAAAAACTAAAACAAAAAGAACTCTCTAAAGCTTTGAAAGTACGAATAAGAACAGAAACAAAATTATGATGAGTGGAACGTAATAGGAAGCTTAAATTTGTTTATATAATGGTATTCTAGTTAAATAAATACTCAGACTTAATTTTTCAGAATTATTATCATAAATACACCTATATTAGACATAACCTCATAATTAAACACAAAAACACTAATGCCATTTATAACTAAAAGAATTATCTAAACTATACATCTAAAATTATGTCACTAGAAAGGCTCAAAAACAACTACAAACAATTAAATTCTTTTGAAATTATTATCTATTTTCAAATGATTCTAATGTCTACTTGCATTAGCTTTATAAAAAATTTATCTTATGAAAATGGTTTATCTAAAACATCCAATCGCTAATTTATTATTATCTAAAGGAAATTTGAAAAAAATCTTCTAAATCTACAAACAGGCCGAATCGACTAATTTTTATACCTAATAGGTCTTTTAAGGCTATAATAGCATCGGTTTCGTGATCTTTACTCTTTACCCCGCTATTATATAACACCGAACTAACAGTTTTTTCACAACTAGTATAGAGCAACATGTTACAATACATTCTATTCCACTCTAGCTATAAATAAAAGTTCGATGCTAACTGCAACAACTTTTAAACAAAAATTTGGAAAAAAAGTATAAGGATCTTTTTTGTAGATAATTTTATGACCTACAATTTTTGTTTGAGCTATATTTTTGATAAAACTTACCGTTTTCGAGAAAACCCCAAAAAACAACAAAAATTTTGACCTTTGATCTTAAATAGCTCTTTTAGCACACGTGGGATCTATGGGGACTTTTGGCACTTTATTTCTACTGGTGTACCCAAGGTTTCTACCAAAATGTAGCTCTGTCGGAGTTTTTGTTATTTAGAATGTCTATTTTGACCGGACTAAAATTTGGGATGAAGTTTATATGTATTTGCCTATGTTGGAATATCCTTTAGCTCACCCTTAAAATGATGAAGAGCTTATGTATACCTATTATGGTTACCTGGTTTCTTAACAAAATCTGTGCTAAACTCATTTTAGATTTTAACTCCCTACTGGGTTAATCTTCTCTTTGTGGAGACACACCAGGTATAATCCCAGCAGGTCAGGTAAACGATTCGTGGAGAAAAACAAAACAAAATTTTTGAGTATTTGGGTTAATAAAAGTAATTGAAAAAATTAATTATAAAAGTGACTAAATTACTCAAAAAGTACTTAATTCGTTGCAATTACTCATTACGTTTTTTGAAAAGCAATGCATTAGTTCTTGAAGAGATTACTTGAAGTCTCTGGTCGTCAGAAGAGATCGTGGGCGGTTGTGGTACACATTTTCGAATCTACTCCCAGAAGGAAATCGAGAAATTTTACGTCGTTGGATTGCAGCTAGTGAGTAAATGTGTGACAAAAAACCAGAGCAAAGTGCGTGCATATTGCGTTATCTACAAAATGGAACCCTACGTTGTGTTTTTGAAAAATGGCGGGATGCGTTCAGATGCAAATCGTGAACCCCAGGGTTGGAAAAGTACCACTCAATAAAACACAAAATTTATAGGGGACAGGGACACAAAATTATTGATTGCTCCACTAACAAAAAAAAAAAAAAACTGCGTGCGAGGGTGACTCGTGACTTGCCCTCAGGCTGCCCAGAAGGGGGCAAATCGCAGTCGCTGTTCAGCTCCAAAAAAAACTTTGAATGACGTGGAATGAAATCAAATTGAACGTTCTGAATCAATGCAAATATTTGAATATCACACATTTAATAAAAACAAATAAAAAGCTAAATTAAGGTAACTGGATGCAAATACACAAGTTATTACAGACGTTCTAGAGCACAACAAAAATACCCATTGGGGCGCTGAAGCATAAACGAAGTTTGGAACTCCTGGCCGCGGCTGTTTTTCCACTGCGACGGTGATTCTATTCTATCGGCAAGCCTACCGCACAACACCTCTCCATGACGAACATGCCGTGCTATCCAGGTCGTTACGGTCGAAAACTCGTGGTTGGAAGTCACGGCTATAAATAGCTGACAGCGTCACGTCGTCCAAATCGTCCCCTGACTTCTATTCAAACCCGCGTCCTTTGTGCAGATGGCGCGATAAATTCCGCCAGCTCGACTATGAACGGCGCCCTCCGCTTCAGCCACGTATTGTGGTGTTATTTAACTCAATTCTATTTTAAATGTTCAATTTATATGCCTCTGATATTAACGACAACTGAACAAGTGTTAAAGTTTCAAACAACATTTAAATTCGCCATACACTCTTGTGAAATTTTAAACAACAAATAATTCTTATTTGAAATAGTTACATAAAAAAAAAACTGGAAAAGATTTATGAAAAACAAAAGATCTGGTGTGAAATAAACTTGGGCAAACAAAAACATTACGTGGGGTTAAAACTGCAGACCATGGAAATTTGCGTTCAATTTAAAATATACAGCAAAAACAATTACTGAAGTTAAAATTGAGAGATAGAGAAATATTGTCTGACGTGAAAAATTGCAAAGCTAACGAATTTACATGATGAGATTAATTGATTAATATTTGCCACACTTTATCAATGATTCAAACAAAGAATTTATATTATGTTACATTATTCCATAATCCAAGTGATTGGTTACTTAAAATAATTAAATTTGAGAGTTTATCGTGAACTGGTTACCCCAATAAAACACATAATAAACAAATACAAAAATATCCAGTCAGTGTTGCGAGGAATGCCTTGGTGATGCAGTTTTTAAAGTTGCAAGGAAATGCCTCGGTGATGTAATCAATCTTTAACGTTGCGAGGACATGGCTCGGTGATGTAATGATGATAACGATGATAACTGCCTAAGGGAAGTAATTAATTTAACCCCCCCGCTAGTTCACGATATGATGATTTTGTTAATTTAACTGCCGTAAGTGAAGTATTAACAATCGTGTGTGAAGAATTAAGTATTATAATGTAACACTTACGTATTAGCATCCAGAAACTTATTCATAATTAGACAAACAATGTGACTCAGTGAATTTCATGAAATCTCGTAGTAAAGGCAAAGCTAAATTAAATTGTGTTGGAACCAGTTAACGATTAAAATCCTAACCTAATCGGTAAATTAGCAAACAATAAAACAAATTTACAGCACGTGTAGCGTCGGTCGAAAATTAGCACTTTTTCCGATTAGAAAGCTGCAAGAATTAGCTGCGCGTATTGGGGAAAACTGTGACGTCATCGTTACGATTAATTTTCGTTAAACAAAGGCTTCCTCCCTTTTTTTTTGTTTGATTTGTACAGGGGTGAAGATAATATATTGTCAATTATATTTCTTCTTTTTTTTTTCAATTATGAGACGGCACGAGGACAACAAATTTTCTCGGAAACAACAGATCACCAGATCATTTTATTAACTACCAAGCCAACTAATCTAACCTACCTAACTTACAGCGTCATTTTCACCATGCTCCCACAGACCGAACCACAAACCACCCAGAATAGGTGGTTTGTGGACCGAACCAAACAATAATGACGCTTTCACCATGCTCTCGCCATGCGGCTATCTTGTGTACTACTACCGCCCTCTAACTAACAAGCAGAACTACCAACAACCGCAAAAAGAACTAAACGTGCACAAGGCCTATGTTTATCGATTTTTTTTATTGAATTTTTTTATCAAATTCAAATTATGCAAATGTGATTTCAGTGCGAAAATTTGATTCAAATTCGGTCACCACAGTAATGAATCTGTTTTTTTTTTGCGGTCCATAAGGTAATCTGTTAATGCGATTTAATATCATGAATCACTGGAAATAACACCTGATTTGATCTTGTGTAAATTCTGTGTTGTTTAAAATCGTCGTTAAAGTGTGGTATAATTAAACTTCATGTAAATTCTTTCCATCAAAAAGGTTCCTCGGTCAATTTTGGCAATGTTAAGCAAGGGGAATTTTAGCTCGAGTTTGGCTCGTAAAACCTTTTAATTTTGCTTCGCGTGGAATACCTATTGCCTCGTAGGGTGTGCTTCCTTCCGGTCGGTAAACTGCGAAGAAATAGACAAGGCCAAGTATATGATAGTCTTGCACCGTGAGGGTGAGCAGTGGCGTAACTACCGGTGTTCCATGTGTTCGCCGGAACACGGGCCCGCTGATTCAAGGGGCCCAGTCCGGTCACACGAACATTTTTTTTTATTAGATTTTTTTATATTATTGCCCAAATGACATCCTGAAATAAAAATTCGAAAATGTGGGGTAATCCCAGGATCATTGCTATTTACGAATTTTTTGCTGCAAAGGGCTGGACTTTTGGCGGCATCTCAGTATCATGGACTCAATAAACTCGGGTTTTAGCGACCGGCACCGGCGCGGCGGTCGAAAATGCAGCAGCATCTGTTTCTAATAAACCTGTCGCAGTGTCGCAATCCCAATGTGGCAAATCTAACACCCCATGTAGTAAATTACCAATCTTTATCCGACAAAAGCATGACTAATTTATGATGCAAGAGAACAAAATACTTAAATTTTGTCCCCAGATCTACAGTGAAACTTCGTGCTGTAATAAGACGTGAAAAACATTTAGTTTCAGATGTTTCATGAAAATTTTCGTATTTTCAACACTGTTTTAATTTGGTCCTTTTTTGGAATAATAAAATATATCTGATGTATGTTACAACTAATTTTTTACGTAGAAAAAAAACTGGACTGGGAAATTATTACAAAATGACCTACCTGCACTAGTTTCACTGAAATTATCACAGAATGTTTCACTTTTCTTACAATACATCTTTCGATGGCTTCAGCGGAAAGATCTTTTTCGAAATTAAAAATGACTAAACATTTTTTAAGAAACACAATGAGCCAATGCAGATTATCTTCACTGAATCTCTCAATTGGAAATTAAATTGCTAGAAGCTTAGATGTGTCAAATTTTGTATCAATTTGTACCCATTGGAAAGCAATTAGAAAACAATTTTGAGATAAAAAAAAACTGGCCATTTTTATCTATACTTTTATACTTACTTATATTATAAAGCTGAAGAGTTTGTTTGGTTGAACGCGCTAATCTCAGAAACTACTGGTTCGAATTCAAAAACTCTTTTTGTGTTGGATAGTCCATTTATTGAGGAAGTTTATAGGCTATATATCACGCTACGATCAATAGGAGCGGAGCAGCAATGAAAAATATCGAAAAAACGGGAAAATTATTCCTCCTTTGACAGCTTACGTTGCTTACGCTGCTTAAACGGTTAAAGTTACATAAAAATCATGTGTGATGGAATTGTTCCCTTCTAAAAGTTCTAAAAAAAAGTCCGCGACAGCATATGTCTATCTTTTAAGGTCGACTCAGTATTACCTTTTTTATGGTAATGAAATTTGTTCTAAAATGATCTAATATAAAATTCTGGTGTCACAATGTTTGTAACCAAACTCCTCCGAAACGGCTTGACCGATTTTTATGAAATTTTTTGTATATATTCGATAGGTCTAGTAAACTATTTTTTATACCCCAAAGTGATAAGGATGGCCCACCAAATTTTTTGAATTTTTTTTTATTTTTTAGACATTTTTTACTTTTATTTTTTTAAGATTTGGCATCAAAAAATACATATAACCCTAAATTTTCACCCTTCTACCACCAACCCCCATTTTTTAATAACGATATAGGTTTGCAAAATGGCTATTGAATATAATCATTGTCGTACGATAAATTTTTATGTATAATTTATAATTTAATTTAATTATATTAATATGTATCTATTTTAATTTAATTTTTTATTTAACTACCAAAATATTCACTAGAAATGCCAAAACAACGTTTGCCAGGTCGCCTAGTTTCTAATATGTATAATTGTATATATTTTAATTATATGTATTCAAATAATTATTGTATTTTGTTTTTTTAATTCAGTGTTTCAGGTAGAATGATTTTAATAAAACGTAGCCCTAATTGCAATGTACTCATACTTTACTCATTACCCGTATTTTAAAATATTTTTATTTCGCTGTTCATTAGGGGCCCCACAGTGTTGTAGAACACAGGCCCGCAGTTTGATTCTTACGCCACTGAGGGTGAGTATGTGTTATAGCCTGAAAATTTCACAACACAACGTAAAGCTGAAAATGAGGAGAGTTCTATCACCTAAATAAGAGCCATCGATCCCGTAACCATGATCTACGATTTGGATTCCCAATATAGTCTTTGGTTTTGTTGACATTTAAATTTGCGGACGCACATTCGTAATAATAATAACTTGTGTATTTACATCCAGTTACTTTAATTAAGGTTTCTCTTTTTTTTTTAATTTGTGATATTCAAATATTTGCATGGATTTACTTTCATTTCGAAAGCTATGCTTTTTTTTGTCAGGATGGAAAAATAAACGATTTTTGTCCACCATATTTTGTGTTTGATTTAGGGGCGCTTTTCCAAACTTGGGGTTCATCACTTTGCATTTGAACGCATTTCAACATTAACAAAAAGAAAAAAACACAACGTAGAGTTCCACTTTTGATGAGGATCACAGTTCAAAGCCAATTTCGTAAGGAAGTTGGCCATAAATCTAAAACTGAGTTTTTTGGGGCTGGAGCTGCTTTCATTCGGCCGTCATCGTGAAGAGAAAAGTTCAATTATTTTTTTATATACTGACAGGCAAAAAAAACTGGCCACCCTGAAATATTTTGAAAATCTCTATAAAAAAATATTAATTTATCTAGTAAATGTTATTTAATTTAGATAAATATACACTGTTGACACAGGATGTACAAATTAACTTAAAAAATAGACAAATATATACGATCACTAGTTAAAATATAATTTTAAAGTGGTTTTGTAAAATATTTCAGGGTGATCGGTTTTTTTGTCAGTTAATGTATATTGTGGTTTTAACAAAAAATGTTTAAGGAATTTTTTTACATAATATAATTATCTACATCTGGCAGCCAGAGAAAGTATTGATGGTGGACTCCAGAACAACCTCGAGAGCGGCGATCACGATCTGTCCAGAACGTATGGGTTTAAATAGGGATCACCGTCGATAGTAGAACAGTCTATTCTTATCCAGCCGAGTCTATTAACGATTATCAGTGAAGTTAAGTTGGAATTATTCACTGTAATATTTTCGCAGTGTAGTTAATCGCGTAAATTTGTATCACTGAGAAATAAATTGTTGAGTTTTACCCACGCCGATTTTAACTTTTGATTCGTTTATATAACAGTAATAAAAATTGAATACAATATGGAACCTTTTTTTAGTGATAAAGCACTACGTTACTGAAGTCAATGTTAAGGTCTTAAAAACAAATTTTGGATGATTTTGTGAATGTTGCAATTAAAAAAAAACAGCATTTATCTATATGTATTTAAAAATCGCTTCATTTCTAAGATATCAAAATTCGCAAATTCAGCACTTTACAAGCCATATGCTTTTATTATTGAACATCCTAGGTCAAGCAACTGAACAAATTCTGATCCACCATCTTGCAATCTAAAACTCACCACCTAGAAAGAACACAACCTAATAACACAAAATTAACTTTTATTTTTAACTCACCCCCAACTTTTCTCCAATGAGTGCCTTCTGTTTATCTGTGAAGCCATCAAAGTTAACAATAAATTCATTTAACTGTTCTAGCAGCTGAAAAAACAAAACACGTTACTAATAAAAATATAGAGCTTTTAAGAAAAGGAGTCAATATAAAATAGAAACATTTAAATACATCATCGAACAATAATTATTACCTGTGATGCGGCATACGCCTCAAACATTAATTCTTCTAAAAATTCCTGAAGTTGGTTATGATTTCTGGCCTTACAAACATCTAAAAATTTCTCCAACCAATGATCTGGGACCACCTGCAAAGAATTTTACTTCACCATAAATCACCAACTTGCTTAAGGCAAACGCTTCAAAAAAAACTTACCCCAGTGACTTCCAAAACGTCCTCGATTTTTATAGAGGCACCTTCTCCCTTTAATCTGGCACAACTCTGTAAGCTGGTAATGGCCCTTCTCATATCCCCTCCACTTGTTTCAACTAATTTGTTCATAGTTTGATCATCACATTGAATATTCTCTTCCTTACAAATAAAAGTCAACCTTTCAAGAATCATTGACTCATTTAAAGGCTTAAAACGAAACTTCGTACAACGAGATGTTAACGGTTCAATAATCCTAGACACATAATTACAAATCAGGCAAAACCTTGTCGATTTTGACTCTTTTTCCATAGTTCGTCGCAAAGCGGCTTGTGCTGCATGTGTCATTGAGTCAGCTTCATCAAGAATCACAATTTTAAATGGAGGGCACGGTTTACCGCTGTGAAAACACACAATTATATTATACAAGATATTTGAGAATTATGTAAATTTACTCTGGACGCGTTCCGCTGGCTGATAACTGTGCAAAAGTTTTCACTTTGTCGCGAATCACTTGAATACCACGTTCATCTGAAGCATTTAATTCAAGTATTCTGTCCTTGTAGTAGTCTCCAAACAGTTGTCGGGCTGCTGCCAAAATTGTACTTGTTTTGCCTGTACCGGGAGGACCATAGAAGAGTAAATTTGGCAAGTCGGCACCTGTAATACACTGTTGTAATACTGCAACGGCTTCATTTTGTTCAACGACGTCTGAAACGGTTCTGGGACGACTGGAAAAAATATTTGAGAAAAACTGGAGAGTTGAGGTTATGTAGCATACTATTTTTCTACCCATGGTACAGCTTTAGACTTCTTTGTGGGTTTTGTGGACGATTGCCCGGGTTTTTCTGAGGGATCTAATTTTCCTGATTTTAAAAAAGACTGCATGTTTTGTAATTTGCTTTATATAACAAATTAACTGGTTTGGCGCGCTTTTATAGTTGACAACTTGACACTGACAGGATGGTAACAGGTGCTACACGGAACGACAATCTACAAATGTTATCAAGAGAAACACCCTTGTCGCACAGCTTTTGGGGTCTTATACTGACAGTTTGATTAAAAAAAATCATAGAAAATGCTTCAAAAAGAAATATTTATTTACAAGTGACGCTCACGACTAATAATAATAAGCCCGACAGAAATGGGCAAGCAACCCAAAATACACTTCGGAACGATCCAAATTTATAGCGGGTGTCTACATAAATAAAAACCCGATCAAGAGGGCTGCCTCCTGTTTTATTGCTCTTTTTTCCGTATATCGTAGTGTTGTCATCGTGTTCGCGATAGTTGTTGCCATTTTGATCTCAAATTCAGTGTAAAGGCTACTGCATGATATAAGTAGACTCTGGTATGCCAACTATCAATTCAAGTTTCCCTTAAATCGTGGCCAAATCAAAGGACTAGCTGGCGATTGTTATTAATTTCAATAGGTGGCGCTACCTTACCAAGGGACGTCAATTTTTGGCATTTGTTACAATTTTAGGTTAACACCATTTGACACATTAAACTTAATACGTATAATAAATAAGTATTTATTTATTCATTATTTATTTTAAAAATGTGTGTCAGTTTTGGAATAACGTTTCTGGGACACTGATTTTGCGTCAACATATTTTTTGTTTTTTTTTTCTGCCAGGTTGCGCAGTGCGCAGTCGTATTTAATGGTCGTCCATAAACTAATTGGTGTGTGCAGCTGTGCAGTTAGGTGGCAGTTAGTGCGTAGTGCCTATTAACAATGAACGTAATCCATAAAATAGTCAGGGGTCCTGAAATGAGATAACCTTCACCTTATCCAATTAGTTAAACAACAGGACCCAAAATGGAGTGTTTAGAAAGATCCCAAGTGGAATGTGAAATAAAAGTACATAAGGTGAGGGTACGTGATGCACATGTTTGGGCATGTATCCGTAAACCATCCAGAAACCATTTCAAATTGATCTGAATGTTTGCGTGCTCGGCTCGAATCGAAGAAGCTCCACACATTCCATGCAAAATTTTTTGGACGTTTTAAAAGTTCAAATGGACCCGGATGGAAAACTCGCAACCATCACCATGGCAGGATCAAGATTAAGGTGCAAAGAAGAGACTGTTATTTGAGTTTTAATATGGTAAGTTCCCAATATTAACGATAAATTGGATTTTATATTTGATTAGAATATACAGTAATAGTTTTTGAAAACTTATAAGTTAAATAATGCAACCAACTAGACCAGCCTTGACAATTTGGCCAGTTTCTTGGGTTTACTTGAATCAGCTGCCCTCTTTCGTGCTTCTCTTTGACATGAGAAGGTTAATCTCAACATGATAAATGAGAAAACTATTTTTTTTGTGATTTCAATTTTGTGTTCATCACAACCCACAAAACTGGTCAGTCCATGTTCACCAATTATTTGAATTACCTCAAGTAAGGTGTTTCGCTTTATTTCTTGATGAAGTGTTTTTGCAATGAGTGACTCAACTTCTTGTAGAAGAGTGATTAATTGATTAGAGGGAAATGTTAAATGACCCCTACTTCGAAGAATGATGAAGGTATTAAATTCTTCAATCCCATCCCCTACGATAGTTTCAACACAATTTGCACATTCTTCTAATTTATGCCTCCTAGCAATTGAACCACATACATAGGCAAATGCTTCTTCATTATCTCTGAAACTTACAGTAGTCCCAAAATTAATATCATTGTGCAATGCTTTGTCAAGTTCTAGGTCAAATTTTTCTTTAATTCTCATTGCTTTATCTTTATTGCAGTGTAGCGCTGATGTTTCACTTATGAGGGCCTCCAACATACTACCACCTGACACGTTGCTTCCTTTTGGGGGTTTAATTAAAGAATATAGTGACAACAGCCGAAAAATCTGTGCAATTTGTCCAGATTCAGGACTGCTATTGGCTCCCCCGCTAGCACGTAGCAACCCAAAAAAATGTTCGAGAGGATCCTGATTAATTCTGGTAGTCATTAGGTACTCAAATTTTAATTCGTTGGTGCAGTAGTCAAGCAAATTCAAAGTTGTGTTGATAGTGGCTTTGAGCCCTTCAGCTGTCGATTTCGTTAAAAAGTACTGAGGTTCAGAGCAAGATTCCCACAATTGTAAATAAATCAAGAAATCTTCTAAGGCCGCCTGTTGCTGAGAAGATTGCCTTAGGCCATTAAAACGATTACCTGAGTTTAAAATATCAGACAACTCATTAAGGCGTCTACAAAATTGGATTGTTGGCTGGCAGTTGACAAATTGTGGTACCTGTTTGTCTTTTAACGCCGTTAGGGCATCTGCAACAGTACCGCTAAATAATTGAAAGGCATATTTAGTGGTCATCTTTTCGTGCTGTTCTGGATGTACATGTTTCCGTGTCAATTTGTAGGCGTATTTAAAATGGTTCTTGGCATCATATTCCAACAAATTCTCAAAATCGGCCAATCGAACACGCCCTTCAGGAACATGGAATTCTTTTTGGGCCACGAGACGATTACGTATGCATTTTAACAAATGCGGAAAATCAGAACACATTCTCAATTTTCTGTTGTTGTTACAGGGATGGATGCACCATGGAGCTTCTGGATTCCCAGCATTAAATGATTTCCACATGGCCCTATTCCATGTAGCACCATCAGCAGTGACTACATCAACGTACAGCCCAGCTGCTTCACAGAGTGTCACCGCTTCCAGAACAAGTTTTGCTTGAATTGTCCCTAACACACTGCCTCTGGACAGAAAACATCCAACTGCTTGTACATGCTTTCCTGCAAATGATTGGAACATGATTACAAGGGCATGGTCACCAAGTTGATCTTTTTGAGGTTCAGGTGTATAGTCCCCTAGGTCTACAAATCCCATCACTTCCAACCGATTCTTATCAAAATATTTGCAAGGGGTAATTTTGCACTCATCCACCATTAATGTCCCATGACATTCCCGCTCAGGAATATTTTTTGTTTTTTCCTTCAAGGCTTTGAATAACTGCGTTTGAAACCCATAGGAACTGTCAATATTCCTGATATAGTTTGACAATGTACTGGGCGACGGTAAAGGCAATAATTCCCTGCTTCTTAAATGCCTGTAAAGTTTAGGGCTTTTAATTTTTATCAGAAGGCAAGTATAAATCCAGTCCTTGGTATATCGTTTTCCTCTAGGAGCTTTTCCTGCAGTCTCAAAGCAAGTTTTTACTGCCAGTTTCTGGTTTTCAGGTAACCTCGCAATAATGCCATCGATGTTTGGAACAGTTCCCATGGCCGATTTTAATTTGGCACATTTTTGTAGATCCCTAATCTTCTGACTTTGTTTAACTTGCTTTGTCAACAAGTACGAATATCGTTTTCGTTTACGCTCCTGTTTTACAATCGGCTGTGTCGCTTTTTTCGGGTTTTTACAATTTTTTTTTCGGATTAAAGCACATGCCCTACATCTCTCTGACTTCATTTGGGTGTTTTCGCCAGTGCAAAAAGGACTAATTTTGCCGTCAACACCTGAACCATTGCATACTTTTATGGAATGTACTGATTTAATTAGTGTCACTAATTCTTCCAAAGTACCAGGGAGAAAATCTGGAGCGCGACAAATATTTTTGATCATCAGTTTAATGTCTCCTTTACTGTCAATAATGATGGTTTTATCTATTGCAGGGATTGTGCCAGAAATATGACATATTGTGATTTTAGAAATCCCTGCATGAATTCCCCACTCTATAGGAAGCAACCCAACTAAACTCAAATCCATAAGGTTGTAACCACTCCCTAGTGTAAATTTTAAAAAATTATTCAGTGTAAATCTGTCTTTTAGTAGCCTGGTGACATATCTGGTGACCTGTCAATATAATGTCAGTTCATTCATGTATTCGCGACACATGATTACGTTCGATTTCATTGCAATTCTTGCACTCCTGCACAAGTTATTTCATAATTATCATTGTAACTTGTCGCAATATTGTAAAAATTGATAAACAATTTTCAATAAAAACACGATAACCTGAGTCTTCATGGTAATTACTAATTATGATACAAGAGCAACGATAAATAGAAACGTGTTTTATCTTTCATCTGCAGAAAGAAGAATGCCACCTACTGTAATTTAGACTTGCAGTCGATACGTTTACGAATTACGATAAAACGAACCCAAAAATACGAGTCACGAATGAAATCAGATATTGGGCTGGTAAAAAAACAAGGTGAATTGATTTATTTATTGTTGCTGCTTTATAAAAATCGCTTTACAGATGGGGAATAACTGAATACCTAATTCAGAATTTGTTTAAATTATTGTACATGAGTGTACGGGATATATGTGTGGCTAACCATGATATGATTTGACTCGAAGGACCAGCTCTCCCAACTGAAATGATCAATCTCGCGAGCAACACCAAAATTGTGTATAATAGGTAGATAACTGTTCACCTTAATTAGTCGCAACAGATGACCAATTTTTCATAAAAAAATGAGACACTAAGAAGTCTTTAATGTTATGTTTAATAACTCTCATTTGGAACTACTAATTATTTACAAAGTGTACAAGGAATTTGATTGAAGGTGATAGGTGGAGGAGCATAGCCACTATGCTCCTCTGTCCTGAGGATTTTAGTGATAATAATGAACAAAATGTAACTTCACAAAATTCAGAGGCTAAAATAATAGGTATGTTGAAAATAATTTGACAGTTTATTTAAACTTACTGTTACAGGAGTGGTTAGAAACATTGGGAACACATAGACCAAATAACCAAAAAGCAAAAATTTTTCTGTTAACTTTCTTAAATCTGAATCCCATGGATTTTAATACTCGATGTAAAGTATTTAAACTTGCTGTATATTCCAGATGTTCTTTCGCAAAAATAAATAAATCCCGAATAGTAAAAAACTATTTTTTTTTTGTTTTTGTCAAATATACGGTAGGTTAGATCTTCGTTAAATTCCAAATTTGAATACCACTGCGATTTTTGTTTTGGTTTCCACTTTGCTTCTTGTAAAGGTTCTCCAGATTGGGGTTGGGTTAGTTATAATTTTGTGGGCTTGACATCGGGAACACTATGGAAAGGATAGGAATAAATGAGTTTACAAGGAAAGTTTCTGCAGTGTTTGAATTTAATGAGGGACATTTAGTTGTATTGTGTAGGATATAAAGAGTGGGTATAAAACTTGAAAAGACAATGTTATACTAAAAAGCGAGATATACACTTTCAACTTGAGGTAGTTAAAACTGAAAGTCCTTCGACAGACCACCATGTTGTAATAACATAAAAAAAGGTCCGAATGTCGATACGTTACTCTCATAGTATAGTACTCTTCCTTGATGGTATAAGAATAACTACATACTGAAAAGATTTTTGCAAGCTTGAATTCAAGTTCTCGGGAGGATGCTTGGGGATAAGCAAGTTTCAATCCATTGTGACAGTTGGCAAGTGCCATTTTCATCTGCTTATTTATCACAATATGCCGTGTTGGTACCATTTTTCAATGATATGGTTTAATAACAAACTGTGAGATATTTAAATAAAACTCGCTCGCGCGTGATTGTCAAATTTTGACACATGCGCCGTTACCAATCTGTTCATGTAAAAAACACCATTGGCTGTAATGCCAACCTTACAATTTAACGAGTGGTTACAAGCTTATGGATTTAACTGTAGTTGGTGCAAATTTTCTCTCAAAACCTCATATAGTGTTGAAATGGAGGATGAGGGGAGGTTTGTTTCTATTTGTGTAGGACTTTCAGATGGTTCAGAGGCAGGGATGTAGGTATGTGAACCTTGAGATCTAAAACAGATTGTACCTAGTTAGTTTCAACAGTCTTTTGGTTACTTTTACACTTGTACGAATTAAATTTTATACTGGAATGCATTGTTTTTAAGCACTATAAACAGGAGAAAACAGACCTTGATTTAAGATAACATTTTAACGGACGGACAGGAACTACAGGAGGAGACGGGGATTTACTACTGGTTCCTAAGTTTTGATATGGAATGGCATCTGCCGTCAGAGTTCGTCTAATTTTGCCATTGTTCACAAATTCACGTATGAAATGTTTCGCAAAATGTCTCATGCAAACATGGTCATTTTTTGACAAAATTGTGCCCAAAGCCTCATTCCATGTTTGCAGTTTGTGTGTATCCTGTAAATCAAGTTTAAAAATATAACGTGTAAGGAAAAAATACCGGATTGTTTTATTTTTAGGAATATTTCTGTAAAATGTTTTACCGTTGGAACTTGGAACAAGGATAAATCGGTATTGGAAACTTTGACGAAGCCGCATAACGCACACTTCTTCATGTTGTTTTTGGTAAACTTTAAATTCGCCTAGATCAGTAATCAATCTGATTTTGACGCGGTTTGGCAATCTGACATTAGGTAGTATTAGAAGCGTCTGCGTTTTATTAACGTTTTCTGCATCCCTATTACGATCCCGCCAAAATTGTTGTGACATTCGTGACAGCAGTTTGACGTCGATTTTGACGTACCTACACATGGTGCTGCCATCTAGCAATTTTTGTTCAAACTGTCAACTAGACCTTCGTTTTGGAAAACAAAATGGCGGTGAGTTGGTATACCAGTCTATTTATATCACGGGCTACTGATTCACTACGTACCAGTCCATATGACAAGCGGATGACAGCTTTCAAAATTCATTTCGGAAACGACATACGGAAAAAAACAAAAGCTGGTGATATAATACTCTTGACCAGATTTTATTTAGACACCCAATATTTACAACAAAACAAACGTATTTATTTATTTATGAAAAACGTTAAAAAGAGTAATATGTATCACAAATTATTATAATTTTGACAAAAAAATACAAGTTTAAAAGAAAAATTTATTTAATTCATGTAACAACTACTTAAAATATGTACTGCATATTTGTACTCTGATACAGCCGACCAGTTTATACGCTTCAACCCCATCCCAATGACATTTTCACCTGCATTAAAACATCTCTTATTTCCTAAATGTTTCATGCTGTTAATTGGAGTTTGATAAACTACACAATAAAAAAATTCGGCGTACTTCTATGATAATAATGTGCAGCAATTTCCAAATTTCGAGCGAGAGGTAATGATAATAAATTGGTTTGAAACAAATTTAAATAAGAATTCCTATTCAAATTGTCTAAAAAAAATGAACTGATTATTCTTGTTATTAATTATTATTGTGGTGATCAAATCAGAATTAAAATTTCGCTCTGAAAAAATTAACAGCGGCGCGAAATCGCATTTGAATAATTTGAATTAAAAAAAAATGCAATCAAGAAAATCGTAAAACATAGGCAACCATGTGCACGTTTAGTTCTTTTTTTTTGGTAGTAGGTAGTTCTGCTAGGGAATTTTAGTTAGAGGGTCACTTTTGGTTTGTTTGTTGTGAATGCAACCACGTGGTGAGTTAGCTAGGTTAAGTTTAGTTGCTTTAGTAGTTAATAAAACGGAGAAAGCCTTTGTTTAACGAAAATTAATTGTAACGACGACGATGCCACAGTTTCCCCAACGCGCGTAGCTAATTCTTGCGGTTTTTCCAAGCGGAAATTAGTGAATTTTCAACCGACCCTAACACGTGGTGGAAATTTGTTTTATTGTTTGTAAATTCACAGTTCATGTTAGGATTTTAATTGTTAACTGGTTCTAACACAATTTAACAGTCGTAAGTTTATTCAGATAAAAGTACTTGCTAGGAGATTTCATGAAATTCACTTAATCGAGGCTCATCCTTTGTTTAACAAATTATGAATAAGGTTTCTGGGTGCTTATACTGATACATTATAATACTTTTTAATTCCTCACACAAGATTGCTAATAGTTAATTTGTGTCAGTTAAATCAAACTCACGTCGTCCCACTTTGGGAAAAGGACCGTGAAAGTGCGGTAGAACTCATAATATCGTGCACTGAGGTACGGGGGATTAAAAAATTTCTCACCTTAGGAAGTTATTATAATCACATCACCGAGATATTTTTCTTGCAACGTGAAAAATTACATCACCGAGAAACTTTTCTCGCAACGCCTGATGCATTTTGTGTTTATTTATAATGTGTTTTGTCTCAGATAAGCTGGGGACAGTCGACGATATAAACACTCAAAGCTAATTGTTTTAAGTAACAAATCACTTGGATAATGACCTAATGTACATTCTTTGTTTGAAGTTTGAATCGTTGATAAAGTGTGGCATAATTTAACATCAGGTAAATTCTTTGTTCTGGCAGCGGCTATGTTGAAAGAGTATCTTCAAACCGAGCACATGTTTAAACTCTAAAAACTCATTGAACAAATTAACAACATTGTGGGTCATGTCGGACGTGCATTTTATTCCTTTGATTTAGACCATTATTTGCACAGCGCCACAGAATTGATTACATTTCTGGGATTTTTGACGCATTGTTTTGGAACGCATTTGTCCGACGCCATTTTAAACCTCCATATTGCCTGTTATATTTTTTTGTGTTTATTTGGGGGAATGTAAAACGATGGCCCACAATGCAGCTGAATAACTTCACTTTTGAAAATTAAACAATAGCTCGAATGGATATAAAATATTAACCTCATGAAATTTTCTTAGTTTTGCAATTTTACACCTCATACAATTTTTTTTTTTCTATCTCACAATTTTAGCCTCAATAATATTCTATGTTGTATAATTTAAATTGAACGTAAATTTTCATGCTCTGCAGTTTCTAACCTCACGTAATTTTTTTATCTGCATAAATTTTACTTCACATCAGATTGTTTTTTGGTTTTATAAACCTTTGCTTGTTTTTTTGTTTCATGTAAATATTTTGTCGACTAATGTTTCCGTCATATAAATTATCTGATCTCCAATCTTAATCACAAATAAGAATTATTTGCTATTTAAAAATTTCACGAGAGTGTATGGCGAATTTAAATGTTGTTTACTGTTCTTTTTGAAACTTGAACACTTGTTAAGGTGTAGTTTAATATCAGAGAAAGTGAACATTTAAAATGTAATTGAGGTAAATAATACAGAAACACTTGGCAGAACCGGAGGGCGCGGTTTCTAGTCGAGCTGGCGGAATTTATCGTGCCGTCTGCACAAAGGACGCAGGTTTTACCTAATAGAAGTCAGGGCTGGTCGAGATGACGTGACGTTGTCGACTTCTGTCCATAGCCAGGACCCAACCGCGAGTTTCCGCAGTGTGTGCGATGGATAGAATCACCGTCGTGGCTAGGAGAACAGCCACAACCAGGAGCCCCAATCTCCGCTCGTGCTACAACGCCCCCTATGGGTAATTCTGCTATGTTCTAAAATGAAATTGAAATAGTTCGATCGCCACACTCCTGTGATGTTGACCAGTCATTGTCGCACGCCTACAACAGGCAACACTAGGCAACAAGTATCAAGCAACATGTCGTTCAGTGTTGCCTCAGTGGAATTCCGGCTTAATAACCTATGTATTTGCATCCACTTACTTTAATTCAATTTTCTAGTTTTCTTATTGGTGTTTTTAAAACTGTGGTATTTAAATACAATCAATGCGCATTGATTTGGAACGAAATTTTTCGAAGAGTTTAAAATTGTATTCACATTTCAAATCATGCCAGAATGTTTGGGTTTCACAATTGTTATTGTTTTAATATATTAAGAAAAAAAGTCTCGAACTAGGTTGATTTTTGCAGAGTCCAAAACTTTCACGATCTGGTTGTTCAATATAATATCTCCTATAGCGGAAACACAAAACATGTGATTTTTTCCATAGAAAACTGACCTTCACCGAAGTACATAATCCTGTAGATGTGTCACTGTATCCATAGTGTGATTTTATAGAAAACTCTATGAATTGGTTCTTAATCTATAAATATTTTAAAGATATTTTATTACTGTCACTTGCAATTTATGTGTCTGCTAACAACCAGAAACTTATGTTTGTTTTCTCTCATTAAGCATTTCTCTAAAGAAATACTTCACTGCTACCAAAAATCGATTAAATACAATACAAATTGTTCTATTTTAGTGTTTTCGACAAATATCATTAGTTTTGAAACTACCAAATTTCCATATGTAATTTCCATGCTGTATAAAGCGCAATGAGGTAAAATAACACAATTACATGAAGAAAATGTATTTTCTAAATTCACTCCATCTCTTTATGCGTATTCATATGCGTCCGCAAGCAATGTGCTTGGATGAATCCCTTCCCACACACCCCACAAACGTGAGGGGTCTCACCCGTGTGTATCCTCCTGTGTACCTTCAAGTTTGTATTCCTACTAAACCTCCTCCCACAAACCTCACACTCAAACTTCTTGTCGCCCGAATGAATCATCATGTGCCTCTTCCTCTCAGAACTAAACGTAAACCTCCTCCCACACACCCCGCACTCGAACGGCCTCTCCTCCAAGTGCCTCTTCTGATGGTTCCTTAACGCCCCCGCCCTGCTGAACGCCGCCCCGCACTCCTGACACACGTGATCACGCCTATCTGAATGCCCCGCCTCGTGCGACCGCAGCGCTGATTGCTGGACAAAGCCCCGCCCGCAAACGCTGCAGGTGTATGGTTTTTCGCCGGTGTGGAGTCTCCGGTGCACCGACAAGTTTCCTCGCAAAACAAAAGACAAGCCGCATATCTCGCACGTGTGTTTCTTGACGCCGGAGTGCATCTGCACATGCAGACGTAAGTTGGACTTTTTGAAGAAGGCTTTGGCGCAGAGGGTACAAGTGAACGTTTTGAGGTGGGCGTGGGTTAGTTCCATGTGTTTGGAGAGGGCGCTAGGGGTGGGTGGCTGAAAAGAACAGTAGGAGCAGGTTTTAGGGGGGGCGTTGTGTTTGCGTTGGTGTTTTAGCATACTGGTGCGGTATTGGAAGACTTTGTTGCAAAAAGGACAAGTTCGTTTCTTTATGTCGGTTGAGGGAGAATGAGATGGAGAGAGAGGGTTGATTCTGCTTGGAAGTTGGGTTGGATTGGTTTGGCTTAAGGTTTCTTCTTCTGAGTCCTGATGAATGGGTTCATAAGAGGCGTCAGGTGACGAAGGGTTACTGTGGGGTTCAATGACAAGCTCTATTGTTTCTTCAAATCTAGATTTAAAAGAATGTTACTGTGAAGACAATTTTTTTTACTGTTTATCACCTACCGAAAGTTGGCGAGGTCCTTATTTTGATCTGTTGGAACTTCTGACACATTTAAAGTCTTGTCTCTGTGAAAAACTGATTTTAAGTATCTATCTGACGATTCACACTGAATCTTGAACATATGCGATTTGACTGCAGTATCTCTGCAAGTTTCACATATTCGCTTAGGAAGTGCGTCGTGTTCTGATATCTACAAATGTTAAACATAATAATTAATAAAAATAATGAATTTGTTACAAAAATGTGCCTACACGTGTAAATTTGAGGCTATAGCATTCTTAACTGAAATAAAATTCTTGTGTTATAAATTTAAAATTTACAAATGTCAGTATAGCAAAGTATATCCCCCAAAAAGTGTCAGAAATATGGACCACGTTAACCAAAAACGTACTAAGCGACAAAATTGCAATTTGAGTAATACTAGAGTAAACTTTCATTGAAAACTAAAAATTTGTATTAATGTCTGAATAAAATTTTTGTCTTAAGAATACATGACTTTATGAATGTAGTCTATTTTGTTAATGGCATCTAAAACACACAGTCCTTTACAGTTTTAAAGAAGCATTTTGGCCCTTGGTACTTCTTTGAGAAAACAACCATGATATTAAATTTATTATTCCGTAAAAAGGCACTAAGTAATTTTTTGAAAAATATTATATATATTTAAATTAATTTAACGACCTATTGTAAAAAGGAACATATGCCATGAAACAAAAACAAAAATGATAAGTTAAATTTTTTTCCCCTAATTCGAAATCGATATCATTTGAAAAACCCTCCACATAAAATTCACAGTTTATTCCCCGTAAGTTTTTGTAAAAGAGTTTTGCATCATCGGGAATAAAAAGACATGATGTTTTTAGATCTGCCAACTTTTTAGGCGATATTGCTTTTCCATTGGGCCATAATGTAGACAATTTTCCAAAATTTTTAGAAGTCTTTTCCTTTTATGCATCAAAACTTCATTGTAGATCTCATTTTCCTGATTACTTTTCATAAAAATAGAAAGCGGTTTATCTTTAGTAAGTTTAATCACTCTTGTTTTCAAGCATCTAATTTTTTGTTCATGTATGCCTTCTATTTGTGACACTAGACTCTAAATCGGCTTCACTACAAAAATGTTCTTTCTGCATAAACTAAATAATAAGTGGATTTTTCTTTCTACAATTTAACATAATATTGTCGTAATCTTTTATACATATTTAAAGTCTCTGTATATACCTAATGACTCCAAAATCTTTGTCATTTGGTAAAAAACCATGTTCCGAACCAAAAAAATTCAAATAAATCGTTTGTTAAGTAGAATGTTGCTATAAAATTGATTTTAGCATGAATACAGCTTTTAGATTACTATTTTGACACCCACAAGAGTCAGATCACAGATGCAGTTCTGTTATATCCTTTTTGGTAAAATTTTCAGTAGGTATTAAGCTCTTAAGACAAGATCTCACCTTTTGTGCGCCACGACCTATTTTCTCTTTTTCCAAATAAAATAGTGTCCTTTCCTTGTTTTACCGGAGTAAATACCCTCGTTATAAAGCCAAAATTGACGCTTATAAAACTCTAAGTTTGTAGGATAGTTACAACTAGTTACAAGGAAACAAAACCTTTTTGATTAAAACATAATCCCAGATTTATTAAAGGAGCATAGTTCTATCTCAAATTTTGGTATAAAAATAATTAAGACAAATAAAGGATTTTTACAAACTAGCTGACCCCGTGAACTTCGTTTCACCTACAATTTAATTTTGAATCTGCAAAACCGAATGCTTTGAAATCTTGCAGATGTTTTAAACATATGATAAGCATAATAAATTTGTATTCAAAATATATTTACTTATCCCCTCCAAAAAATTGATGACGTCACCCCAAAATTTTGCCAAATGAATCCTCTCTAAAATGTCCAAGATAGGATGAGACTATACTTGTGATTTATCATTCCATTCATAATTTTTGGTTTTGCTTATAGTGGGTGCCTCAAAAAAATTAATCACTGAGTCAATTTATTTTATTGATTGAATCAAGAATTGCAAAACTGAATTTTGAAATATTGCAGACGTTTTGAAGTTACTGTTTGACATGGTAGGTTTTTAATCAAAAGATATCTGTTTATTAGAAATGTACCGACTGTAGGTCTGGCCGACTAACCGACTAGCCGATTGTTCGGCCAGTAAAAACCGACTAGTCGGCCGACTGTTCGGCTTTGCTAAAACCGGTTTATAAATGCGACAGACAGTGTGTTTTTTTTTCTATATCTCTGACTACCTTAAAAATGTGTTTTATTTTAATAAAAGGAATAACTAAAGTTTCTTTTGTGGGTATTGTTGGTGATTTAAAAGCGACGGTACGGTTTTCAGATTTTATTTTGTTCCTTACTGTTCGAGAGTGCCAGGGAGAAGAAGGAAGGGTGTTTAAAATGGTACACAGGTAAGCTCGGTTTCGAAGAGGTGGAAGTAGGTAAAGAAGGGTTTAGAAAATTCTAGGAGCGAAAAGAGAAAGTATGTAGGAGCGTAGGCCAGGTAGACGAAGGATAGGAAGTATTTACATTTTTACTATTATTATGAATGCGCTCAGATAGAACACCTGATTTTGTGGGAACGGTTGTTCCTACGCTTTGTTTTCCAAAAAATGTGTTAAATTTGTTTGGATAATTTTAACATTTAATTTTTTTTAGTAATTAAATCGCAATTAAATATTTAAATGAGGTTCTGTAAACCGGGTTTAATTGTTTTATATACTATTTTAATGTTAATAAAAAAAGCCGACCGATCGGCTGTTTAGCCGACCAGTCGCCGACTGCAGCCGACGATGAAAAACGGCCGAATAGTCGGCTTCTCCGACCGGTCGGCCACTAGTCGGTACATCCCTACTGTTTATCAAGCCCAAAAACTTGATGACGTCATCTCAAGATTTTGCCGAACAAATCCTATCTAAAATGTGCAAAACATCATCAGTATATTTTCGTAATTTATAATTGCATTCATATTTTTTAAATTTGTTTTTACAGTGACTCCAAAAAATGTATGGATCAGTCAATTTATTTTAGAGAATAACTCAAAAGTTGAAGAAATGACTTCTTTGAGATCTTGCAGACGTTTTAAAGTTATTGTAAGCATGGTGAATTGTTAAGAATATTTACTTATTTCCCCCAAAAAATTGATGGAACGGCCCACTCGATTTTCGCAGATAATTTTGGGAATACAATACAGTTATTTTTAGTATTACACTGCACCAATCCAAGGTGGTATACGTGTTGATCGTAAATGTTGATTAGGTCATCACAAAATTGTGTGAAGAAAAGACTCAACTCGAAAATGCTGAATATGTTTCATTATACTTTTGGTGCGAAGGAAGTTCTGTCGAAACAACGTTCGATCAAATTTTTGACAATGGTTGACATAAATAAAACTCAGTAGATGCTCATACTCGAAATACGAAGTATCTACTCGAATATCAAATCAAAATATTTCTAGTTTTTCTATATAATGCTAATATTTCAGTACGTAACAAATGATGCTCAAGTAGCATCTCGATATAACAAAAAAGGAAAACAGTGACAGTGTTCAACCATCAAAGCAAAAATCGAGTCACCAAAATATCAGTTAGTATGGGGTAGACACCTTGAGTTGGGAATCTCTATGGTCAGTGTTAGAAAGAACGCACTGCACAATTTATGCATAAATAAAAGCTAATTATCTTACGACTTCAGTTTTAATTTATCGGATTCCGTGATTCCTTCACTCGACAATGTTTAAATTTTGGGAAAATTTTCGAAACGATTGAAGTCGCTTGATCAAAGCTATACATTTGCATGATATAAATTAATCAATTTTAAACATAATTAATATCACTTATAATGTTTAAATATGATAAGCATAAATATATATGATAATTAAACCGAAACTCGTTGTCCTACAAACCCGAGATTATTAAAAACAAATCAATTTGTTTAAACAATGTTAAATTATCCCCGAAAATGTGCATTTTCCCGGCCAAAATATGAAAAATAATTTTTGCAGTCTCATGGTGACGTACGATGACGTCAATGTCACGTGAGCTACCTGTATAAAGGTCACGTTTTACGGTCCTTTGTGTTCAGTATTAATTTCTGTTTGATGGCGGCAAGATCGTCGCTTCATTTTGGCGTAAAGGTGGAGCGTTTTAGCGAATTTCTACTTTATTATTAATAAATATTACGGAAAATATGTTGTGTTAGTGCTGTGAACGCGAACGAAAATGGATATATAAAGGTAAGTACGACTTCAGTTTTAATTTATCGGATTCCGTGATTCGTTTATTCGACAATGTTTAAATTTTGGAAAAATTTTCGAAACGATTGAAATTGGTGGGTCAAAGCTATACATTTTCGCGATATAATTAAATAAAATTTAAACATAATTAATAGAATTCATAATGTTCAAATATGATAACTATCAATATATGATAATTAAACCGAAATCCATCTTCCTAAGAACACGAGGTTAGCAAAAACAAATTAGTTTGTTTAAACATTGTTAAATTAACCCCGAAAATGTACAATTTCTGATCTAAAATATGAAAAATAATTTTTGCAATCTCATCGTAACGTACGATGACGTCACTGTCACGTGAGCTACCTGTATAAAGGTCACGTTTTACGGTCCTCTGCGTTTACTTTTGATTTTGGTTTGGTGGTAAGTGTTTTTCTGTAAAAGGTACACACCAATAAACGTGCGCAGAAACGAAATTTGGTTCGGCATTGCGGGGTGAAAGAATCCAGCACGTGGTGATTCATCTTCAGTGGCGTCTGGTGTTAGAGAACTCTTTGGAGAATTTTCTTGGTTTATTGTGAGTGTATAGTTTGATTTTTTGGGAAAAAATTGTTACGCCTATGATTTTATAACATCGGAAAAACATTTTCACAAAATAAATTTGTGTTTCTATTTTTTTGGCTGTGATTTCTAGTACCACATAACATTGCCCCCAGATTCAATATCCAAAAGATACGCCACTGTCTATAGTATCATCTATTCCCGCCAACTTCCACGCGCAGATCTCTGACTCCGCCCATGTACCTTTTAGAGAAAAGCACTCTAGCAACATCAGAGTCCGTTTTGGCTTAAAAGTAGGGCTCCTTTCACGAATTTCTTATTTATTATTAACAAATAATAGTGAAAATGTGTTGTATTAGTACTGTGAACACGAACGAAA